TGTGAAAGCGTTTAATGCTGGACGGCAGAGACATAAACAAACAAACATGGGCCTCAGTCAGTCATTTTAAATTGGAATTGCGAGTAATGAAATAGCCAGCTCAGGAGCTTTTAGCTGGTCTTTGCACAGCACAACAACGACTGGCAAGAGTCTGCAGCCGTCACATTGCGTTCTTCCCTTCCCTCTGCCCCCAAACTTAATCTTGATTTCCGTCATTTATTTTTCCTTCGTTTCTTCTGCAGCGCCTTTATAGTGCCGACATCACCACGAACCTCACTGGCGACCAGTTTTTAGGCCGCTTCTTAGCGAGTTCGCCTACTTCATTGGTTGTATCACTTTCCGGCTCCAACGGTCTGTCCTTCTTCTGTTCAACTTCATCGAGCCTTCCCAGGGCCATCATTCTCGCTTTTCTGCGTCAATTCAACTCTCCCCATTGCCATCCCTGAGAGAGCTCCCAACCACCCAAACCCAACAATTATCGAATACCCTCACCACCACGCCCAGCGAAGCCCCAATTTAATATCATCCAACTCGCGTACGACTTTTGTATCGAAAGCCCGACCGAAGGTAACTACCTGTCGTGGGTAGTCCATCGCGACGCGCGCAAGGCGACCAGTATCCCCAATTATCAGACTCTCCTACCCAGTCATGGACGTTAGAGTAAGCAGAAACCCCAACACCCACATTGACGCGTTGATTTGGATACCTTTCGACGTGTATCCAGCTCTTTCTGTGCCCATGCTAACCATCCTGGGCTCCCCAGCCTTTTCGTCCTCGGGGGACCGAGAATGCCATCCATCAGCGACACAACTCGACCGGGAATATCGCGAACTCTCACGCGTCAACGGCCGGTTTCCGTGGGCAGGCAAAGCGTGCAGCCTTTGGCGACGTGACCAACCTGACAAAAGCCGTGGGCGCGAAACGAGAAGACGCCAAGGTTGTTAAGGTAAAATCTGTTGGGCAATTTAACCATGCCACGCGGCCCGTGAACAAGGAGAACGTACTTGTGTCGAAGGATGGTCTTGCGCGTCCAGCCCAGAGAACCGTTGCTGTTGCCAACAAGGCAAAGCGCGGCCTTGAGAACCGAGCGAACGAGCCGAATAAGAAACTGGAACAGGCTGCTCCCCGTGAGAACGCGGTTGCCACATATGTTGAGACCCGGGAGGCACTCAAGATGCAGAATACCAACCGTGCTTCACATGAGCGCCGAGGATCGCAGAAGAGCTCGCTTGAAACTCGCCCTCAACCGCGCCATCATAAGAGCCAGCCTCAACTCAAACAACGGCCACCAACGCTCCGTCGGACCCAGAGCCGACAGTTGGAGAGGACGGAGACTATTCTCGAATCAACAAGCCAAAGTGTAGCCACTGAGTCACTGGTCACATCATCTCCAGAAACCCAGACTGATAGTGACGGGGCTGGTCCTGTCTCGGTGGAGGCTGCAAGCCAATCTGTGCAGGTCGAAAACCACCTTGAGATGCCTTCTCGGCTGCCCGAGATATCTGAGGAATCTGGAGTCGTGCCTGCCAACTACGCAGATGGAACCGCGCCAGGGCTCTCGGAGCCGGAAGAGTATTGGGATGAGGATGATGAAGACTATGATGATCAAGACCAGGCTTACACCACAGCCCACTCCTTCCGCTCGCGGGACATGACAACTGGCGGCCCTACAACTTTGCTCCAGCCCAAGGTGTCCCTCCGAATTCAACGTGAACTGGAGGAGGCAAGAATCGAGGTGGAGCAAACCCGCCAGCCCGAAGATATTGAAGAAGAAGCCTGGGACGTTAGCATGGTTGCTGAATACGGTGAAGAGATCTTTGAATACATGCGAGAACTTGAGGTGGGTCAAGACATAGTAGTGTTTCCTTTTGCATAACCTTTACTGACGTGGCGGTCTCCACAGGTCAAGATGCTTCCCAACCCGCATTACATGGATATCCAGACGGAGATCCAATGGTCAATGCGCTCAGTCCTTATGGATTGGTTGGTTCAAGTCCACAGCCGATTCAGCCTTCTCCCAGAGACACTCTTCCTCACGGTGAACTATATCGATCGGTTCCTGTCCCAAAAAATTGTGTCCATCGGAAAGCTCCAGCTCGTTGGCGCTACTGCCATCCTCGTGGCTTCCAAGTACGAGGAGATCAACTGCCCGTCACTTCAAGAGATTGTCTATATGGTTGATAATGGCTACACCGCCGAGGAAATTTTGAAGGCAGAGCGTTTCATGCTTAGTATGCTGCAATTCGAGCTTGGCTGGCCTGGGCCAATGAGCTTCTTGAGACGTGTCAGCAAGGCTGACGATTACGATCTCGAGACCCGCACCCTGGCCAAGTACTTCCTCGAGTTGACCATTATGGACGAGCGTTTTGTCGCATCACCCCCAAGCTACCTGGCTGCAGGAGCGCATTGCCTCTCACGACTTATTTTGCAGAAGGGGGAATGGGTACGCATTCTTCACAGGATCTTTGGATCCTCAGACAGAGAGATAGTAAGCTAACTAGTGTCCAGAGCAAGCACCATGTCCACTACTCGGGTTACACCTGGAACCAGCTCAGACCTCTCGTGAGCATGATGATTGGTTGCTGCGAGCAGCCACGACTACACCACGGGGCCGTCTATGAGAAGTACTGCGACAAGAGGTTCAAGGAGGCCTCGCTGATCGTTCAGGATGCCCTTGAACAAGGATTCGCCTTATCGCAGTACACGTCGTCACTCCGCATGCTACCTTCGCAGCCTCCTTGCCTGGATGATGTCTCGGATCAGTTGTACCACCAAGGACATCTCGTTCCTATTGAAACATGAGGCACATGAGAAATTGACCAAGCCAGCGCTCCTTTTCTGGCTAGTTTGGATTGTTCGGGACTTGCTCTCGAGGCCAACAATCGCGCGCGCTGCTCCTCCTTCTCCTTTGAGCCTCTCTCATTTCATCAACGCCTGTTGAAGAGTCGGGTTCCGGTATGCTTACTTGCGAATGGGGAGGGTTGGGAATTATGAGGCGATAACGTTTCCCAACCCTTGCATTTGAAGCTGATTATTCGCACCACTTTAATACTGGCTTCCCAAGCATCCTGGCCAGCCCGAAATTTGCCCACCAACCACAACACACATCACAGCTTGTGCATGGTTGGAATGACCTTATGAGTTAATGATCACATCGCATCCATCTCGTACTACTAAGACTTTTTTCTGTTTTATGCACCATAGGCTTTGCTGTTTGCTTATACCAGGGAGCGGCGTTGGGATCTATTCATCTAGACATTATTGCCCTTGCCAAAAACAACCGACTTTACTGGAGGAATTTTGGACGGCACATTGGCGGGATCGGCAGGTACAGATCGAGAGTGGGAGAACCCTGAGATCTACGTTTGCTTTTGAACCCTGCTTTGGACCATAAACGTGTATGACTCGAAATCAATAATTTCGCCCATCGTATGATGGGATTTTGCATCTGTTCTGTCTCTAATAGACCTTCAAATGGCATGATTCAAAGGTGGCGTCAGGGGATTGCAGTTACCTTAGCTTTAATAGAAACACTTCATTTACTGGTTAATTTGCGGAGACCTGCGTGACAGCAAACGAGTTGTGGATTTGGTAGTCTCTGGAAGTCCCTCACTCATTGAAGGTAGCTGAGGGTCCGTCTGAGCTTTCGTGCAGTGCGGGGATAGCTCCGGCGAGCAGGAGAGGCTTTTTTTTCTCTCCTCGTGTGCTCTGTTCTGGGGATATGGGGAAGTCTCGTGATGGTTTTGGTGGATAGACGCTAGCTGTGATGCGGTATGGAGCCGCAGCATCCAGTCTTTAGCGGCTTTGGCCAGCAATCAATCTCCGTTTTCCCGTGAACGAGCCTCGTTTCGGGGGGTCTTGGTCCTGTGGGAAACCAGTCTCCGTTGGAAATGTGTGGGCTGCTGCAGTAGCGGACCAATCCCGAACTAGACCCGGGAATCCGCCGACCCAGTTTTGGGGTAGGATGCTGCTGGCCGATTGCGGTGCGGTGCTGCTGAAGCTGTGTCACAGGCCCATCAATAGCTCCACGGGCGGGCAGGCACGGCAGGTTAGCAGTAGCGGTCGCCTGTAGCAGCTGCACCACAGGCATAACGCTGGTCGGGTAAACCCGCCGCGTGCGCTCAGATTCACCTGCTCAGCTGCTCTTAGCTGCCGGTCTTGGGGCGGGAGAGGTCGCTGCAAGCCCTTGCAGCGACTGCCTCTTCTGCAGCCCCGGTCCGGTCGTGGGGGTTGGAGGACCTGGTAACAGCGCAAATCGGGTCTGACTTGCTTTTTCAGACGCCTCTGCAGCATCTAGGGTCCGCATCTTATATAGATTGGAATCTGGATTTTCATGCGACACACGTGGGACTCGGGGGACACGGCGAACCGCTTCAGTACTTGCGCTCTTCCGGTTCTCCTAAACGCCCTCAAAGCGTGCAAGCTGCTCGAGGGAAAATTGTTCCGTCAATTCCGCTCAACCGCTGGGACACCCCCTTGACCGAACTAGAAGATTATCCCCCCCCTGGCGCGTGACGCTGCGCTACCACTACCTGCGCATAGCCCCTTGGTGATCTACTACTAATATTTGAGTTGGGAGAATCCCGTGCGTTTTCCGACAAGCCTCGAGCTTTCTAGAATTCGAAAATCTGGGGGAATTGGGCCTTCGAAGCTTGACTGTTTGACGGTGGCTTCCTCAATCTGGTTCCTTAATCGTCTCTTCTTCCCCTCGGATCGATTTTTCTTTTTCTTTTCTTCTTAAAATAAACCGGGAGCTTGTTAATAGAAATTGCGCAAACGACCTCCATCCCACGGCGTGCGACTTTTTTTTTCCCCGTGCGTGGAGATAGCGAAGTAGTTCCGATCGACGGATCCAACCCTCAACCTGGTCTTGGCGGACACGTTTGTCAGACATATTGTCCCTGGATCCGCCAACCTTTCGGTCACAAGACCAAGATAACTTTCCGATTGAATTGATCGCAAGAAGCCTCTCTTGACTTTCCTCCAGATAAATTGCCAAAATGGCGCAGATCGACAAGGTGAAGGAAGCGGTCAAAGAGGGCCTCGTGGGCTCCGAGGAGCCTGTCCAGGTTTCTGCGCAGACCAAGGCCCGATTCACGGCCAATGCCATCAAGGACCCTGCGACGGGAGAGCTCTACCTGGGCCCCGATGAGTTCACAAACGCCGTTGTTCCCTCTGGCGAGGACTACGTAAGTTTCCCCGTGCCCTGCCTAGCGGGGGATTTATGCTTTGCTCCGCATGCGCGCGGGCATCTACGAGACGTTTGGAAGCTTACGATGCAATTGATGTCGCGGAACGATAGCACAAGATCCAGCGTGAACAGTATTCGATCCTGTTTCGCGTAGCCGACAGGAAGAACTCCGGCCGTGTCACCCTCGCCGACTGGGGCGTTTTCGAGAACCTGCTCAGCAAGCCCGACTCTGAGTACGAGATTGCCTTCCGACTCTTCGACGTCGACCGCACCGGCCATGTCAAGTACGAGGACTTCCGAAAGCTCTACGAGCTCAACAGAGGCGCCGACAACATCCCCTTTGACTGGGACTCGGAGTGGGCCAAGCTGTACATTGGCAGCGGCAGCAAGAGGCACACCCTCGACTACCCCCAATTCTCCCAGATGCTGCGCGGTCTGCAGGGAGAGCGCATCCGACAAGCCTTCCAGCTGCTTGACAAGGACGGCGATGGCTACATTGATCCCGAGGACTTCCAGAAGATCATCCTGGAGACCGCCAAGCACAAGCTCTCTGACCACTTGCTCGAGAACCTCCAGACCCTGTGCAACATCTCCGTCAGCTCCAAGATCTCGTACGCCAACGTGCGCGCGTTCCAGAACATGATCAAGGAGATGGACCTGGTAGAGCTGATTGTCCGCCGCGCCGTGGGCAAGAGCACTACCGATGGCAAGATCACAAGGTCCGAGTTCCTCAACGAGGCCGCCAAGATCACCCGCTTCTCCCTCTTCACCCCCATGGAGGCCGACATCCTCTTCCACTTTGCCGGCCTGGATAACCAGACCGGTCGCCTGGGCCTCAGCGACTTCGCCAAGGTCCTGGACCCGTCGTGGCGCAACCCCATTTACGACATTGACATCGCCGCCCTCAAGCCCACCGTCAAGCAGGGCTCAATCCTGTACAGCATCCTGACCTCGGCATACAACTTTGGTCTGGGAAGTGTAGCCGGTGCCTTCGGTGCCTTTATGGTGTACCCCATCGATCTTGTCAAGACCCGTCTCCAGAACCAGCGTGGCGCGCAGCCCGGACAGAGGCTGTACAAGAACTCCATCGACTGCTTCCAGAAGGTCGTCCGCAACGAGGGTGTCCGAGGCCTGTACTCTGGTGTATTGCCCCAGCTTGTTGGTGTCGCCCCCGAGAAGGCCATCAAGCTGACCGTCAATGACCTGGCCCGTAACTTCTTCACCAAGAAGGATGGCTCCATCCACTGGTTCAGTGAAGTTATTTCTGGTGGTACCGCCGGTGGTTGCCAAGTCGTAAGTTCTCCCTTTCCCCCTCAGATCTTAGCTTCGCCTTGCATCAAGCGCAGTGGGTATCAACATCGCGCCCAAGCTAACCTCGCTCCTCTCTCCAGGTTTTCACAAACCCCCTCGAGATCGTCAAGATTCGTCTCCAAGTCCAGGGTGAGGTTGCTAAATCCGGCAGCGCGGCGCCCAAGCGATCTGCCATGTGGATTGTCCGCAACCTGGGTCTCATGGGCCTGTACAAGGGTGCTTCCGCCTGTCTTCTCCGTGATGTGCCCTTCTCGGCCATCTACTTCCCCACCTACAGCCACCTGAAGAAGGACTTCTTCGGCGAGTCGGCAACCCACAAGCTGGGTGTCCTGCAGCTCCTGACTGCCGGTGCCATCGCTGGTATGCCCGCCGCCTACCTGACGACGCCGTTCGATGTCATCAAGACTCGTTTGCAGGTCGAGGCCCGCAAGGGTGATGCCCAGTACACCGGTCTGCGACACGCCGCCAAGACCATCTGGAAGGAGGAGGGCTTCACGGCCTTCTTCAAGGGTGGCCCCGCCCGTATCTTCCGATCGTCGCCCCAGTTCGGTTTCACCCTGGCCGCCTACGAAGTCCTCCAAACTCTCCTCCCCATGCCTGGCAGCACGAAGGCCGACCTCCCCGCCCAGGGCGGCGTTGCTGGCGCCGTGGCACACATCAAGGGCGCCCTGGACACAAGCCCGTTCGCTCGTACCCGCAACGCTCTCAAGGTCATCCTGGACCTCGACCAGGACTTTGGCCGTCCCAAGCTCCCCAACGAGCAGGGATGGCGGACGCTGCCCCGAATCATGGGTGGTGGCGGTCAATAAGCCTGGTTGGGGGATCCCCAACACCTGCCCTCCACTACGCCCTGGGGTCTCTGTGAGGCCTGCGAGGCATCGTGAAGCGGTGGAGATCATAAAAAAAAGCTACCATTTCCTTTTGTTATCCTAACGTTAATAGACCCCCTTTCTGGTCTCTTAGCTCCCGCCTGGGTATCTAGATGGTTTGGTCGGTCGGTTGGCGCCTTAGACGAGGTTTCATATTGCGAGGGGGAGAAGAGGAAAGGGGAGATAAAGACAAAGACAGAGGAAGCTGGAAAGAGGGGAAAGAGAGAATGTATCCCTAGAAGGACATATAGCATTGGTGGTCTGATGATGTATCTGAGCTTGAGCTGCATCAGAGACGGCGTTGGTAACTTGCCTTTTTTGTCATTTATTTTGTTTCTTACCATTTCTGTTCCGTTTCTTCATGTGGGCCGTCGTCCCTGTGATATTTGTGTCAGCTGGCGTTCAAACCGCTCATCCATCTGGTGAGTAGGCGTTTGAAGAATGCACGTCGTAGCAGTGAGGTGATTGAGGCGAGGTAGGTTGGGCTGATTTCCTTAATATATGGAACCAGCCCGCTCCTGTTCCCCCCCACTGCCGCCCGAGTTGTCGCTTCTTTGGTCGCAGCCTCCTCCACCGAGAGAGCCGGCCTCGGGCCGAGCGGGTTTGACGGCAACAAGGAGCCTCTGTTAAATTAGGGGGGGCTATGTAAATATTGTCGACTTTGATGAGCTGAAAAGTAGATTGCAAGTTTATTTCATTACTCTTTCATTGTATGTAGTTTATTCTCTAAACTCTAGAAAAACACAAGAGTGCCTCAAATACTACAGGCATCTCAGCCGAGCTGAGTCGACGATGCTAATACAATGCCGGAGTTGGCTGAACAAGTTTCCGATGGCTCCTGTCCGGCATTGTATTAACATCGTCGACTCGACTCGGCTGAGATGTCTATTAGTGTTTGAGGAATTAGAGGAATATATATCTGCCCGGAAAATGCATGCGTGGTTGTTTTGGCCGCGCTGGGAATCAAAAACATTCTATCCAACTTTTTTTTCTTCTGCCGGGTGCTCTGCACTCCGGTGTAATATCACAACGCTTCGCCCAAAACCAAATATGCATGTAAGACGTTTCTAGATCCAAGCTGATCCCCGTTTCTAGACATTAGAAAAACCCTTTTGACCCAAATTGAAAACAAAGAAGCGAAGAAAGAAGACGAAGAAGCCATGGCCATCAATAGGTGGCGGTGGAGAGAAGAAGATACTCGGCGGATAAGATTAGGCCAAGTAGCCGCGTGCCAGACGATCTGCCAGAGTTACGTGCTCGTGCTTGAACTCCTCTATCGGCGCGTCCGGCTCGCTCATCATGGTTTTTCGAAGCCACTCGATGTAGTCCTCGAACCCCGTCGTGCTGCCCTCGATGACAACACGCTTGACGCCGCGGATTCCCTCGAATTGACGGAGGTTCGCGTAGCCGACGCCGCAAAAGCCAAACTGGACGAGGTGGAGAGTCAGCTCCTCGGCGCCGGTGAAGGACTCGGTGAGAGCCTTGGCTTCATAAGGCAGATCGCTGTCCAGGTGCACAGTGAGGTGGAAGCGGTGGATGAGAGAAATGGCGTAGGGATCCGAGACGGGTCTGAGGTTGGGACGCAGGCGCGGGAATGTGGCGAGGAGAGATGGGTGGGCAATAAAGGTGTTGTGGGCGTACAGGAAGGGCGTGGCCTCCCAATTGATCTGGCGGTTGGTCCGTAGCAGAGCACCGGCTACGGGAGCCTTTTTCGAGGGGAGAGTGTATGGAGAGAACTCTGGGACCTCGAGGAGGTAGGAGTAGATTTGGAGACGGATCTCCAGAGGAACGGTAAGGAGGCCAGCAGGTGGCTCGGATGACATTGGTGGTGACGGCATCAGGTCGGTGATATTACTCGTCTCCATGGTGTATGTGTGTATGTGTAGGAGTATGTAGATGTGATTTGTAGGCGTGAGTATGTATGCCAGTCCGGTATAACCAAGTATGGCAAAGATGCAAGGGATAAGATGAAGTGTTAGTCAGAGCTAGCAGGTAGACTGATGGTGTGTATAATGTATTTAGTATGGTATTCAAAACACAAAGGTAAGGCTATCCCCTGAGGTACGGGCGCATTAGATATTTATATTCTTGAATGTAAGCCATCGGGTGATTTCGTGGTGAGGATTTTCCAATCAAACATCTGAGAGTCCATGCTTATCGACCAGCACATCGATATGGTATGGTATCGGCATGGGATGATGGTGCGGTTGCGGTCCGGCATGGTATCGCATTGGCGTCGCATAGAAGAGTCATCGCACGCCCCCCTCCACCCCCTTTGAAAGACAAGGTTTGGGTCGGTGTGCCTGAGAAGAAGAATAGTTTGATGACGGCGAGTCAGACCATCATGGTGAGATAAGGGTGGTCGTTGATGCGACGCATGGATGAACCTAGCTGAATGGGCCCGACTGGGTGGGATGAACCGGAAGGGGATTATTCCCGGCATATGACAGGACCCGAAACTGCACGTCTATCAAAACCACTGGCACTGGCATGCACCGAAATAGGCCTGATGGTGGCAGGCATTTCAAGGGGGGTGTGTGCAGAAAGCCTGCTGAGGCTCAATCAGGAGGCGGTGACGGCCCAGTCCGTCCATCTGAGTGTCCGTGCAGTCAGATCCATGGGCAGGCTCGTTGGTGGTGTGATTAAATTCAACAGTAGAAAAAGAACCGGGAATCATGTTTTGGGCTGCTGTTTTTTTCTGAGCTGAGCCTGAGCCTGAGCCTACCGGGAAGCTGATTGACTATTGAGCTTGCGAACAACGGATCCCGTCAGCGTTGCTTTTCAGCCAGCCTCTGCTGCTGCGATGGTGATGGTGATGGTGGTTGTGGGCGATGTTGATTTGTCGTCGTCGTTGATGGCCTGGCTTATTGGCACCCATCACATCACATCCCGTCCACCCACGCCACCATCTCATGCCATCGTCTCGCTTAATTCGACCCGAAGCAGGGGGGACGAGGGTGTCATGTACACGCGAATCTGGCTTGATCGGCAACCCTGGCCTGGTGGTTCGGTTCGTGATGCGCCCTGCAGCCAGCCGCCCAGTCAGTTGCGGACACGGAGGCACCGCCGAATGGCCGTGGTGGGCACAGCCATTGTCGAGATGCCGAACGAAGCCCGTGGCTAGCTGAATGCACCGGCAGGTCGTATCGCATCGCGTCAAATGGTGTCGCTGTGGCAGCGCATCGCAGACGGCGAGATCCTTGTCCAGTCCAGGCCAGTCCCGACCCGAGAGCGAATGTCACTTTAGAAGTTTCTACGGCCCCGCCGGTGGACTCGAAGATGGTGATGCTCGACCAAATTAATTGATTACCTGCAGGAAGGTGGTTGCTATCGATTATCGATATCGATTATCGCCTACATACGCTCTATCGCTGCCTCTGTCGCACTGTCAGCCTCAATTCCAGCGCCTGCGCCGGTGCAAAGGCCGGCGCTTAGGCCTCTCTTGACCTTCGATCGGTAAGATTAGGTGATTATCTCGTGAAACTCGCAATCGCCGCCTTTTTATCGCGGACAACGTGACGCATCCCCACCTCGTCCCAGCCTTCCCACACATCATCCATCGGTAGGTACATGGTAATCTCTTGCCGTGCAGGTGATGTAGTCGCTTGCTACGTTTCGCATCGCATCGCCAGCAGGATCACGCGCGTGTTCCCCATCCTTCCAGTTGCTTCCTCCTACCTCCGAGTTCTCTCCCCTGTCTGAGGCACTTCTCTTCCTCTCCGTCCTCCTCCGCCGTATCTCGAGAACACCGGCTTCGTGTACCATGGCCGGTGGCTTTCTCCCTTTCGTCTCCGCCGCCTTTGGCTGGATCTACTTCGTCGCCTGGTCCGCCTCTTTCTACCCGCAAGCGCTGCTCAACTGGCGCCGCCGGTCTACCTCCGGCACCACCGTCGCCTTTCCGTTCCTCAACTGCTTCGGTACGCGCCTCATCCCCGAAAGTCCCCCTGTCCCTTCTCCATAAATAATTCATATCCTGTTATTCTCTTCATTTATTTCTGTTACGTGCCTGTGCTTCGTCTGCGCATGAGCGGTCGCGGCTTTTCCCGTAACTTCCCCGAGCCTGTCCCTTAATACCTGTTTGTTCCAGACCCGGAAGCCCAAAATCCCCACCATCATGCCATCATATCTGAACGGAGCTCCAAAAACGGAGGAAAACAAGACTGACAAGCTATGACTCCTCGTCGCGCGACCGCACAGGCTTCACGGCGTACTTTGCCTCCAACGCCGTCTTCTACTACTCCCCCGTCGTCCGGGCGCAGTACGCCGCCCGCCACGGCGGCCTGACCCCGACCGTCCAGTTCAACGACATCGTCTTCGCCCTCCACGGCCTCGTCCTCAGCCTCATCGTCACCTCGCAGTACTTCTTCGCCAGGTCGCTATGGGGGTTCGCACCGAGCCGAGGCGCCAGCCCTAGCCGGCCCATCCTGGGCATCAGCGCCGGCTGCGTGGCCGGGGTCGTCGTGACCGTCCTCGTCGTCCTCTTGTCCCCGGGCACCGGCGACCCGGCCGTCGACTGGTGCGAGCTCGACGTCGTCTACGCCGTCGGCTACGTCAAGGTCGTCGTCACCCTCGTCAAGTACACCCCGCAGATGGTCGCCAACTACCGCAACAAGAGCACAAAGGGTTGGAGCATCTGGCAGATCCTCCTGGACGTGCTCGGCGGCGTCCTGAGCGTCGCCCAGCAGGGGATCGACAGCTACCTCCAGCACGACTGGAGCGGCATCACCGGCAACCCGGTCAAGTTCGTGCTCGGCAACGCGAGCATGGCGTACGACGGCGTCTTCATCTGGCAGCACTATGTGCTCTACCCAGAGCGGCCGGCGAATGCCACGGAGGACGAGGAGCGTCGGCTGCTGGGCGAGGACGCCGAGAGAAGGATAGACTGAGTTGGCGAGGAGAAGGGATAGAATCTAGAGTAGAACTGTAATATTTTCTAATAGCTAGATAGTAACGTAGTGGCCGCCAGGAATATGGTAACTTTTTGGGGGCTGCAAACCAGTCAGCCAATCACGCATCCCAATTCCGCTTCTGGGTGCATTTGGAGTGATATGACTGCATATTTCGTAATGATCGCATAAAGGTACAGAGTACAATCATCCCTATAAGTCTCAAGTCTGACCAAGAAAGACTAGAAAATAGGTAGGAAAGAGAAAGAGTCTAGGCAATCTTTGACCCGGTTCAGCAAAAGTTTCTTTTAATTTTTTTTTTGCTATGTACACTCAACCTTATTTTGATACGTAACTAAAAAAAAAAACATAAACGATAAAAAGTTCATAACGGACATCACCGTCCCACGGAGAAGCGGGACCCAAACCAGGCCTGTGTCCCTGGCTATTGCTTTCCAGTCACCGACTCAGCCTTCTTTGCGCGACTGGAGGTCTTCTTTCCGGCCTTGGCAGTCTTGGCCTTCTTTGTGGTACTGCTAGGACCGGCAACAGCAGCAGCAGCGTTCTTCTCGCTGGGTGGTTCGCTAGGTGCTTCACTGACAGCGGTGATGGTGCTGCTGGTGCTGCTGCGGCGGGCGCGGCGGGCGGTGGTGGTGGTGGTGCTCTTGCTGACGGTGCTCTTCTTGCTGCTGCCACCCTTCTTGCCGAGCCCGACGCCGGCGACGACGCCCAGCCGGACGACGGTCATGCAGCCCATGATGCCAAAGTTGAGCCAGTCGATGGTCCGCCACGAGTTGTAGTCGAGCACGGCGGGCCAGCCAAACTCCCTCACGGTCGCGTAGACGTGCATGGCGTCGGAGAGGAGCATCCCCGAGCAGATGCAACGCCACAGCCGGTGGTCGTTGCCGGCCACGCGGAGGGTGACGGCGAGGTTGAAGGCGAAGAGGAGGTTCATGCCCGCCAGCATGTCGGTCAGGACGCGGACGGAGGACAGGCTCGGCACGGGTGGCGCCGCCTTGGAGGAGGACGTCGCCGCCTTGAGGATCTTGGATGCGTTGGCGACGACCGACGACGACGATACGGCGGTGGGGAAGTGCTTCTCGTGGTAGGGTGTGACGACCTCGAGGAAGTTGCGGGGCTTGAGGTACAGCAGGTATGCGCCGTTGAGCGCGCACAGCGGCTCGATGTAGAGCAGCGGGAGCCGGTAGAGCCATGGGATGTTGGACGGCGTCGTCTTTTTGGCTGCTGGCGCCGGCGCCGGCCTTGGTGACGTCGGCTCTGAGTATGGTTGAGACATTGTCGTGGGTTTGGACTGGCAATGAGCCTGGTTGATTGGTTGGATGACCCCTCGGTCTTGGGTGAGGTCGCTGCGAGGGGATTTTTGACTTGTTCTGCTTGATGCGCTTGCGGGTGCACCGGGAAGACGAGGCAGATGCGAATATCAATATCCCCGCGGACACCGAGGCGAGGAGGGGAAGCGAGGGACACTGGCTGCGAGTCGCTCCTTGTCTTTGGTTGACTAGCAGCGGTCAAGAATGATGCAAATGATGAGCAAAGTCGTATTGGCACCGACACACCATCACATCACCTGCTGGGAGAGAAGGATAAAAACCGATCCAACCGGAAGGAAGCCCACAGGCAAACGAAGGGTAGGGCCTGGGCGAAAGAGCGCAGCGACAGGCCTTTAAAACAGGATTGGGGATGATGGATGTAGAGTAAGGAGGATGAGCCCACCGGAGTCTGCCCAAGAGACCCGACATCGTCTGCTCGGTCTGGCAGCCACGCTGGCAGCCCTCTTTCCTGGGCTGCTGGGCCTCTAAAGCCATCAATAGCAGACTGCTCACCCGCTAGAGCTAGGCCCAGGAAAAAGCCATCGGCCGCCAATGCCATGCGGATGGGCGATGGGGCTTGTTGGGGGGGAAATGAGTGATCGAATCCATCCGTCGGCCGACCCATGTCACTAAGAAGAAACAGGCCGCGGATGGAACCACATGGTGGTCTGAACCATCTGCTGAGCTGCCCATCACCACACACTCGCCTGCCTCCAGAATGAAGCCGAGAGGCCGTGATGGTCGTCCTGAGGAGCGCGGCCTGCACCCAGCGCGTTCTTCCAGAGCCCACCGAGGAATATTCCATCCCGGAGATTTCCTGACAAGATGATGACTTATTAACCCCGCTGGCCACTGCCGGCTTACACACAATCACCGAAGAGGGGTCCAATGTGCCGCTATTGCGCTTGGTTTCTCGCAGCGGCCGCGTCTAGACCACTAACACGCGCGGACCTCCTCTCAGACAGCAAGTTGATCAATCGCCGTCCGTGCCATGCCGCCCGATGTATGATATCCAGGATCTGTAGAAATGATGTGCATGACAAGTTTCTTCCGGCTTGCCTTGGCTCGTGGCTTCGCGATCTCACTAGCCCCGCCTTCCCGAATGGTTGCTGACATCGAAATATTGGTTTTGGCTGCAAACTAGCCGTTCAAAAGGTCAAAGCAGAGGTCGGTGTGCCAGCCCTCACACCTTCTTACGCCTTTTAGTTCGGTTTGATCTGCTTTATTGCTTCTTTATTCGGGAGGTTATCTCCTCTGATCCCACCAAAGCAATCTCAGACTCGCACAAAATGGGTCTTGTTCGTTCCCTCCTTTCCCCCGACCCATTTTCGACGACCGCCAAAAGTCAAGTCATCTGCTTCGTGTATGAATCTATCCGGGTACAGTGAACAGTAGAATTCTAGTATACATTCATCATCATTGGGCGCCACCGCCCTCCCATCCTTTTCATGTGCGCTGGCCTTGCGGGCATCCCAACTCCTGTGCTCCCTGCATATAATATAGTACATCATTGCTACAACACAAAGTTGATCGTCTTCCCACCCCTCACCGCGATCGCCCTTTTCGCGAGTCGAAGGTTGTATGACGACTCCTGACCAAACCGGGCTTGGCCCTCTTTGGTCTCCAGGATCGCGTCAACCATCCATTTCTGTAGGGCGTCCTTCTCGAGACCTTCGGGAGGAGGGGGGATCTCTACTACTCCCCTCACCTTGCCATTAATCTGCACAGCGCACGGTTGTTTTCGTGGCTGCAGCAAGTGGCTGCTCTCGTCCTGGACGGGGAAGATGCCGCGGGCGAAAATGCTAGTCCGAGATTCGGGGTGCAACACACTCCAACACTCCTCAGCAAAGGCTGGCGCGATCGGCGCAAGTATACGAACGAGAACGCTTGATGCCTCCCGCTTGACCACGCCCGTTGCTTCCTTGTGATGGCCTAGTGTATTTGTCAGAGTCATGAGATCGGATACGACCGTGTTCAGCGAGTAGATTTCCTCAAAAGACTTGGTAGCCGATCCGATCGTGTACTGCACCGCTCGCCATACCGCGGTATCCGCATCCCACTCGGCAAGCTCGGTTTTGCTCATGCCATCAAGCTTCGCATGCCTCCCGGAGAGATACTCAACCATCGTGCTGTTTTGTTCGGGGGCAGTTGTCTCTGCTACCTTGGAGATATAGTCATGTACCCTTTGCAACCACCTGGTCACTCCTACAATTTTATTCCCATCCCAGTTGAGAACATCCCCAACGGGTGCTTGGAACAGCATGTGCGCGCGCGCTGAGTCCGCCCCGTACTTGGCTATAAACTCCGTAGGATCAACCCCATTGTACTTGGACTTGGACATTTTCTCGAAGCTCACTGTCGCCAGCTCTCCAGTAGCGGCGACCTTGGGGTTCTGGGGGTCGGAAAGGTCTACTTCAGACGGCTTGAGGAACTTCCCATTGCTGGGATCGACATATGTCTTGCCATGGACCATGCCCTGAGTGATCAGTCTCTGGAATGGCTCCGCAACCGCGCCGTCCTCCTCGGAGAATTGAGGCAGCATTGGCGTCGTTGCCAAGAACTTGAATATGAACCGTGCATAGAGCAAATGCAGGATGGCATGCTCGATGCCACCTAGGTAGGTGTGTATGGGGAGCGTTCTCCCAGCCTCTGGTGAAAACAATTCCTTGGCGTTATGCGGATCTGCATAGCGTGCATAATACCAGCTAGAATCGACAAAGGTATCCATTGTATCGGTGTCCCGTCGCGCCGCGCCTTGGCACTTGGGGCATGTGGTGTTGACAAAGTCCGGCGAAGCGTCCAGTGCATTGCCCGTCTTCCCATCTGCCCAGTGGTCATCCACCTCGGGCAGCCTCACCGGTAGGTCCTCTTCAGGAACTGGAATTGCACCGCAGGAATCACAGTGAATAATGGGGATCGGCGTGCCCCAGTATCTCTGACGGCTGATCAGCCAATCCCGTAATCTCCATTTCTCGACAACTTCAGCTAGGTTAGCTTGCTCCAGCATCTTAACTATCATCTCGCCTGCCTGCACAGATGATTTTCCACGGAATGGCCCGCTGTGTTCGGTCATCACCCCGTGCGTTACGAATGGCTCGTTTAGAAGGAGTTCGGTCGATTCATCCTCTGATGCTGCAAGTACCATTCGCACGGGCTGGTCGAAGTGGTGATGTTTCCAGAAGGCATTATCTCGAACGTCATGGCCAGGTACGCCCATTACAGCCCCTTCTCCGTAGTCTCCTAGAACATATGGTGCGACATAAATTGGCATCGATGCCTTGGTGGCAGAGGGTGTATCCTCATGATATGCAAGCGGGTTCACCGCCCGCAAGCCTGGTAAAAGGTATCCAACTTTAGAGTCCGCAGGTAGTCCTGGGATCGTGTCAAGAAAGGCGCACAGTTCGGGGTCCGCTTTCGCCAGTTGCTCCACGATGGGATGCGTAGAGGCGAGTGCAATGTACTGCGCGCCAAACAGCGTATCTGGCCTCGTTGTAAACACTTCAATCGCAGACTTGATGTCATGGCCAATGGCCATGACGGGGAATTTGATCAGTGCGCCCTTGGATTTTCCCAGCCAATTCTTTTGCTGCACCAGGACACGTTCTGGCCATGCCTCGCCCGCAGCAAGTGTGTCCAGGTCCTTGAGCAATGCTTCCCGAAATTCGGATATTTTGAAAAACCACTGCGTTAATTTCCGTTTCTCTACCTTGGCGCCAGATCGCCAAGACAGGCCATTCGAATCTACCTGCTCATTTGCCAGCACCGTCCTATCGACCGGGTCATAGTTTACTTCAGCCTCAGTCTGATATGCCAGTCCTCGTTCGTGGAGCATGAGGAACAGCTTCTGTGTGTGTTTGTAGAATTCGGGGTCGGATGTCGTCAATTCCTACGAGATCGAGCGTCAGGCTATTTTTCGAAGTTAATTGAAGAGTATTCTCCACATACTCTGTCCCAGGTCCAACTTCCGTTCATTTGTTCGAGTTGCTCCTTCATTTTGGCAATGTTGCTCTCGGTCCAGACATTGGGAGCAATTCCTCTTTCCATGGCCGCATTTTCGGCCGGCAGCCCAAAGGCATCCCAGCCCATGGGCAGAAAGACCTTGTCGCCCTTCAGCATACGGTATCGAGCGACCACATCGGTGATGGTGTACACTCGGAAATGGCCCAGATGCAGTGTACCGGATGGGTATGGGAACATGGGCAACACATATTCGGTATCTGGGTCGGCCGTCGATGATATATTGGCAACCGGGCTATCACTCCTAGCCTCGTTCCATCTTTGGCGCCATTTCTTGTCGAGGGCGGGTAAGTCGAGTGAGGCGTACCATCGTCGGGATGCGAGGCTGTTTGGGGCTTGTCGAAGGTTGGTTGTCGGGATTGATCTGAATAAAGGGTGCACGGAGCGCACTCTGAGTGCGCCGCAGACTAACTGCCTTCCACGGAGGGGATGCATTGGGGCGTTATCATGTTGCTACCGCTGGCAGGGAGGGTCGAAGGGGAGTAAAAGCGTCGCGAAAAAAAATCAGAGCTGCATGGCACGATGTTGCTCGTTAGAGTCCGAGCGCGGTGATCTGTTACAGGGGGAGCTACCCACTGTAACGGTAATCTGTCGGCATGCGTTTGGCGTGCGGTTAATGCTAACGCGGTGGGCTGCAAGGGTAAGGCAAGTTGGCTCCGAATTCCGAGTTTCGGGGAGCGCTCTCGAACGACGGATCTGGGCTCCCGTGGCTAGGGTGATCTGTTGATGAGGAGAAGTTCGCAAAGGAGGACTTGGGATCCGCCGCTAACATGTTGCATCTCGATAGTTAAAGCTCCTGGAAGCTGCTTGATCGCATGGTCTGGCCATGTCCTGGTACAGAAATAGGCCAAAAAGAGCCGGCACCGGACCCCACCATGCCTATGACTTAATTGGTACCGCCAGAATTGCCCCTCCATCAAACAAAACTCAGACATCGCTCCGTTCGCAGTGGATGTTCTGGGTCTGTCCCTCTTCGAGCCTGAACCATACCAAGTCTGCTTCCACAAGCGGCTCAGGCTGTGCTCCTCTGGTCCCTCTAATTGGGCCAGCTCTTGTCCGGTTCGATCCAATTGCGCCCGGAGTAGCGTGGCTTGGTATTCGGGTATCACCTTCCAACGGCCGCCCTCTTCTACTGAATACGATTTCAATATCATCGACATCCGACTTAGTTCCTCCTGATTCCTCCTCCTACCTCCCCTTCCGATACTAGCCGAATAACTGGTCTCGCCAACACCTTACACACCAGTCCGCCATGGAGAAGATTACAGACAAGATCGCCGCTTTGCCGGCTGATGGCTCCTACTTCTCTTTGGAATTCTTCCCGCCAAAGACAGAAATGGGTTTCAGCAACTTAAAAGACCGACTTCACCGTATGGAGAGAGCATTGAGACCCCTGTTCGTCAACGTCACTTGGGGTGCAGGAGGATCAACCGCCGAGAAGTCGATCGAGCTCGCCGAATGGTGCCAGAAAGAACTCGGTGTAACTACATGCTTACATCTCACATGCACCAACATGAGCCGCCGTCTTGTTGATAAGGCGCTAGAAGATGCAAAGAGGCTAGGAATTCGAAATATCCTAGCCTTGAGAGGAGACCCGCCACGAAAGGATGAATATCAGATGCCCGAGGACCAAGTTGACGACGATGCTGAAGAGCTCGTTTGGGCACTGGATCTTGTCAAATATATCCGCAAGAAGCATGGCGACTATTTCTGCATCGGCGTTGCTGCGTACCCAGAAGGTCATGCCGATGAGAGCCACCCGCTTGGACAGAGTCTTGAGCATGACCTCCCATATCTCGTTGACAAGGTGGCAGCCGGTGCCGACTTCATCATGACTCAGTTATTTTTTGATTTCCAAGCCTACGAAAACTTCGAGAATACACTCAGAGAGCACCCCAGCGGTGTATTTAAAACGATACCCATCCTCCCAGGTCTCATGCCCATCCAGAGCTATCAGATGATCAAACGGACGACCAAATTGAGTCACGCCAAGGTCCCGGAGGATATACACTCACGTCTAGATGCCGTCAAAGGAGATGACGAGAAAGTCAAAGCGATCGGTGTTGATATTGTCAGTGAACTGGTGGAGAAGATCAAAGTCGTCAAGAACAAGACCCCTGGTCCCAAGGGTTTTCACTTTTACACGTTGAATCTCGAGAAGGCTGTCTCGTTCATTGTAGAGAGGACTCATCTGATCCCCAAGATTCCAGATGAAGAAGAAGCAATCGTCGACGGACCCCCGATCACACTCCAGATCAATGGCGATCCTGCTGGAAAGATTCGCTCCCGGTTTTCAAGGCGTAAGTCGTCTTCGGTGGCCTCCGATCCACACAACAGAGTTATCGTCAAAGACGGCCAACTTTCAAATCCCGAATGGGAGGCGTCGGGGCAGGAAGCTGGCCTCAGTGCAGAAACCCCCAATACCCGCTCCAACACCTTGGCCATCTCGGAAGGTGAGGGCGTCTTAGGACGAGAGGCTACATGGGATGACTTTCCCAACGGTCGTTTTGGTGATTCTCGATCACCCGCATATGGCGAGATTGACGGCTACGGTGTGAACATTCACATGACCCCTACGCAAGCCATCAGACTCTGGGGCCACCCCAAATCTCGGGAGGAGATCAATGATCTTTTTGTTAAACATATCAAAGGAGAATTAGCTGCTATTCCTTGGAGCGAAGAGGAACTACTCGCAGAGAGTTCAATTATCAGCAACCACCTCATGAAGCTCAACACCAAGGGCTGGTGGACGGTGGCTTCTCAGCCTGCCGTCAACGGACTGCGCTCATCCGATTCAACCTTTGGATGGGGTCCGGCGAACGGATTCGTATTCCAGAAGGCATTCGTTGAATTCTTCCTTTCTTCCTCAGACTGGTCTGTTCTCTTGGAGAAACTCAAGGCACCTGCCGCAGAGGGAACCATATGCTTTTATGCCTTGAACGCCAAGGGTGACTTTGTTTCTTCAAACTTGAGCACCTTTGCCAGCAGTGGCAGCGCCGCCTCATCCGACACTAACGCGGTCACCTGGGGTGTGTTCCCGGGCAAAGAAATTGTTACGCCGACCATCATCGAGGAGGTCAGTTTCCGGGCATGGAGCGAGGAAGCGTTTGGAATCTGGGGAGAATGGGCCAGAGTATACAGCCGAGGATCAGAGAGCGAGAAGCTACTGAACGGAATCAAGGACGATTGTTGGCTCGTGAACATCATCCACCATGACTTCATGGAGCAGGACGCATTGTGGGATTTATTGATGGGATAGGTTGAGCGAGTGAGTATCGGGCGAATGCTCTCTGGAGCAGGTGGTCCATATCGTTCATTCTGGTAGATTCAATTTGGCGGTGTCTAATTACAATCGCATATGGAGAGAGTGCTTGGTGTATCATTGAAGGGTGAAATAGATTTGCACTGAGAATTGTATGTAGATAGCATTAAGGAGGTATTTTTGCTATTCAATATATCATGTAGATAAGCTTGTACTAAGAATGTTTTGCTTTTCTTCACTGAGCGGTACTACGTGTTGATATTTGGCTGGTGTAGCTCTCCACCAGCATCAAAGCTAAATCGGTAAGCGGGTGTCTGATAACAGGGACAAAGGTGTTTCCGTATCTCAACTTCTAATACAGACCACGACATTGATAGATAATGATGTGAAATATTAACTCACAATTGACTAATTTTAGGGAGCATTATTCATTATTGCATAAATGAAAAATTATGATGTGACTGTCACACTTATTCTATCGAGGCAACCTTGTGGTACTTCATCGGTACATCAGACATAACCACATTTCGATGCTTCTTCAGCCCTTACCAAAAGTCAATCTGTTGCTTTGTTAAAGTCCTCGTAAGATTCATGTAATCGTGCCGCCGGCATTCATCTCGGAAACGCCATTTGTCATGTCCCAACACCGTTCGCACTTTACCGCGAAAGCCTCGCTTGCGCCCAGTCTCCAGTCCCTCCCATGACGTCCTTGTCCCGGGCTTCTCTCTTCTCACCACAACGAGCCATAGCACACTGCCGGACTGGTTGTAGACATACCCCACGACAGGATCAGATCAGCCCCTCCTCATCCGAAACGTCATCTGCCACCCCACCATCATGCCCGAGAGCGTAAACAAACACGTTGTATTCGACGACGACGACCCTGGAGCCAGCGACGATGAGTGCCCCAGTGTCGAGGTACGTTGGCCGGAACCAGTCGCACCCAGCAGAGCGTGTTTGTCGCTGACCAGAGCCGCCAAACGCAGGTGACCTTTGACCCCTCGAGCTCCTTCCGGCGGAAGAGCTCCATGGTCTCGTCGGAGATCAGGAAACCTGCACTGCCGCCACGAGCGGTGCGCCGCGACGAGTGCATCGTCCACCAGTTCCTCGAGAGCCAGAGGCGCGCCGCAAACAAAGGTGCTGGCAGCAGCGACGCCGGCTCCGACCAATGCTTCTCCCCGGGGAGCCCCAGCGACAACAGCACGACGCCCGCCGGCGATACCCATCATCATGCCTTCCATCCTCCCGGCATAGACGGGCTGGGCCACCACGGGGCCAAGAACCCCAAGTCGCGAGCGATCGTCGAGCTGAAGAGCCTGGAGAAGGACGTCAATGGTCAAGCAGACCAGCAGGCGTGGACGAGGGAGATGACCAAGAGCCTCTCGGAGCTGGACCTGACGCAGTACGAGGACGTCCACAGCCGCACACTCACCAAGAAGCAGCTCAGCGACATGGCCTGGGGCGTGCGCGAGCTCAGCAGGCGGCTGAGCAGCATGCGCATCCGCTTCCGCGTCAAGTCCGTCTTCCTCCTGACAAAAGTCTACGACCAGGACCTCATCCCCAAAACCCGGGAGGTGACGCTGTGGCTCCTGGACAAGTGCCGTGACGTGCGGTACACCGTCTACGTCCAGGACACGCTGCGGACAAACAAGAAGTTCGACGTGGCCGGCCTCGTGGATGAGGCGGCCAAGACCTACGGCAGCCCCGGCGAGGAGGAATACGAACGAGCCCTGCTGGATATAAAGAGGCGGCTCAAATACTGGGACGAGGAGATGTGCAGGTCACGGCCCCAGATGTTCGACTTTGTCATCACCCTCGGCGGCGACGGCACCGTACTGTACGCGAGCTGGCTGTTCCAGAGGATAGTACCTCCGGTTCTCAGCTTCGCACTCGGGAGTCTGGGCTTCCTCACCAAGTTCGACTTTGATGCTTTCGCACCAACGTTGGAGTCAGCGTTCAGCAAGGGCGTCACCGTGAGCCTCAGATTACGGTTCGAAGGCACAGTGATGAGAAGCAAACGACGATCAACCAGAGCCATCAGGTCAGTTACATCCGACGAGGACGACGAGGACGAGAACCATACACGGGACCTGGTGGAGGAGCTCATCGGCGAGGAGAAGGAAGATGCGCGAACCCACCGCCCCGACGGAACCTACGAGATCCTAAACGAGATCGTTGTCGATCGAGGGCCAAACCCAAGTAAGTCAAAACAGCCTTCATGCTAAGCTTGCCAAATACCCCCAAGACAGTTACCCTCCATGCCCACGGCATCCAACACGAGTCACAACTAACACCCAGCCCCCCTCCTCCTCCAGCCATGTCGTACACGGAGCTCTTCGGCGACGACGAGCACTTCACCTCCATCCTCGCCGACGGCATCTGCGTGTCCACCCCGACCGGCTCGACGGCCTACAACCTCGCCGCGGGGGGCTCGCTCTGCCACCCCGAGAACCCCGTGATGCTCGTCACCTCCATCTGCGCCCACACCCTCTCCTTCCGCCCCATCATCCTCCCGGACACCATCGTCCTCCGCGTCGGCGTCCCCTACGACGCCCGCACCTCCAGCTGGGCCAGCTTCGACGGCCGCGAGCGCGTCGAGCTCAAGCCGGGCGACTACGTCACCATCAGCGCCAGCCGCTACCCCTTCGCCACGGTACAGGCAGAGGGCCGCCGCAGCGAGGACTGGATAAACAGCATCAGCGGCAAGCTGGGCTGGAACACGAGGCAGAAGCAGAAGAGCTTCAAAGAGTGGGAGCACTGATAATCCCCGGGTCACATATAATATATAACATACACAAGGGAATATATATATCGTCGTTTTCATACGAGTAGTATTTAGTTTACCTTATCAAACCAGGAGTTTGCGGGCCATCTATGCTTTTTCGACGCCGCTGCAGGGCAGGGGGAATTGGCAATTAGACTCGAACCAGATACAAAAAAAAAACCATAAACGAATATGAGTTAGGCCACGTAGGCAATGGAATTTTAATTTCTCGCGAATAACTTGAGCATGAGTTGTGCTTCTGCCACCCGCACTGTAATCGGAGCAAGAATGTAGCAACGCGGCAAAACAATGGCCCGGCACATTGCATAACTCCTCCTTGCAGAGTCCTCATTCTCGCCGTGGCGATCCGACCACACGCACGCACCTGGCGGTGATCGCGCCTGAGCGAGACCATTGTGACGAGGCATCTCAAACAGGTCGAATTTTGGCTTTGGAACACGTTTCTGAATCATGCAGCACCTAATACTTGTAGGGGCGTGTTACTTAGATACCATTCTCAGGGAAGCCAACGAGTGAACCGTGTCTACGATGTGAGACTACTGACTTACGTCCGGCTAGTGTACCGTTCTTCCCGGAAGAAGACTCAAAGCTCCGTGCGACCAGCCTATCCATCCGTCGTGGAGGCAACTGCCCAAACTCGCTCGAGGTGCTCCAGCAGATCCTTGTGCCACGGGAACCTGTTGGACTATTCCTCATTACATGTCTCCCAAGCAGGGCATCCTCAGCAACGCGTCGGGTCATTGGATCGTTTGGAGAACAGTCCGTCGTCAACTTTGACCACTGTCTCTATCGGGAGGCGTACGATGAAGCAGCAAGTAGCTATGTCATCCGGAGCGAGCGGAGCAGCAGTCGCACTATCATCAACTACAACGACTTACCTGAAATGACACCTGACGAATTCAAGGAAAAGGCAGGGGCGTTTGACGCGGACCAAGAGACCTGGTGGCACTTTGAGGTGAGAGGAAACCAGTGAGAATCAAGACGGACAACTCCGTTGGGCCCATGTGCCGCCGCTCGCGAAGGGATAAAGGTCCAGAACAGGATCACTGATAATTGTCCTTGCAGGGGCGAATTCCAGACACAACGCTCAGTTGCATTCGCCATGTACGCAAAACACAGCCCAAGGCGCGGATCAGCGTCGAGGTCGAGAAGCCCGGACGACCAGGCCTTCCAGAGTTGGCGGCTGAGGCGGATGTCGTCTTCTACTCGCGGAGTTGGGCCGAGGTACGGTGAACAACACAGCATGCGGTCAAATCCTGATCGGTCGTGGAAAGGTGGCAGGCAGGGTGCTAAACCATCATGATCAGGGTCGTGGATACCAGTCCCCCGAGGCGTTTCTCAGGAGCGAAACACCGCCGAAAGTGTAAGACCTCAACATTGTGAGACCCCTACGGACAACCCTTGTCTTCTGACTTGCAGTCGCGCCATGTCTTAGATCGTTGGCCCTGTGTACCTGGGGCGCTGACGGAGCCGCTGCCCTGTCTCGGTCTACGAAGGAGGAGGAGGAGAAGTGCTTTCTCTGCCCAGTTCCAAAGAAGGCGATTGCCGTTATCGAGTACGTGCATTCAAGTTGAGCCAGGACCTGGCTGGCTGTGAAACCCGGTTGCAGCTAAATCGACCAGTCGGACAATGATTCCCCACAGAGAGGGTACACGAATTGGCTAACACATGCAGCAGCGCCGTGGGTGCGGGCGACACGTTCATCGGCGGTATGCTGTATGGCTTGGTATGCCAGAGCCAGAGCTGGGATGTGAGACGCAAGGTCGAGTTTGCGGTTGGGCTGGCCACCCGCAAAGTACAGCAGGAGGGGTTTGGTGGGCTCGACGCAGCTCGTACTTGGGATTAAAAATGCCTCGTGACCATCTTTGGCATTGCTCTGCTGCTCAATGGCGCGCTGGGGCTTGGTTGATGGATGGGGAGAGGTATTGCCCAGTGGGTCTGGTCAAACAGGGCGGCGTTCAAGCACACGTACTGGTAGCCCCGTGTATCATGGGGCTGGTGGCGGGAGGAGTTGCATTCTGGGCAGCTGGGCAGGCAGGAGGAGTGCGCCCGTGGTGCGGCAGCTGTATGAGGGTGGCCCATGGCAGGTCGTGTCTCCCGCTCAGCGGCAAATTGATCTGTGTCTCCGAGGTGGTGATAGTGGTTAGTGGTTGTGGAGGCTGCAGCCCGAAAGAAGCGGTGAAATGTGTGTGGTGGAGCTCGCAACACACTGCGCCTACCCGTGAGCCAACATGCCGGGCTTGGGCCTACCAGCAGGCGCCTTGCAGGCATTCGCACCGCGAGAGCCAGCGCCTTCCGCCGCTGGGTGGTAGTGGATCCCCATGAAGGCTGGTACGTACCGCTCTCGCGACGAATCAGCTTGGCCAAGTACGTACCCCCAGACCGGATGCCTCGCATCCTCGTAGTGTCTCAAGTTGCCGGCGATGTGCGCTGCACAGCGACCTACCAACCGTCCAACACATCGGGAGAAGCAGGGGCCTCCAGGATTGCCCAACGCAACCATTAACCATATCCTCCGGCGGACGAGAAGGGCGGGAGGGAGGCTTCCGGCGGTATGCTAGGTGTAGGTTAAGCAACTGTTCCAGATCCAGCTAAAGGTCAGTCATCCAGGGACTTGCCAGATACCTCGCCAAGCACAGGTCATTTGCAGTGGCCACATGTACTGGTCAGGAGACTGGAACGAGGTGGCCCCCCAAACGCACCCGCCTTCACTTGCTCCCTTTGTCCATGCAGCCACAATGCAAGAAACAATAACATCCCACGCCCTAGTTGCGAGTTGCAACTGTCAAGGCTGCAACACTAATGCCTTCTCTTGCCCGAGGTTGCATTTGGCGCTATGAGGTACATGCATCCATACCATACCGCACATATGCATTGTACACCTTATGCGTGCATGCAGGCGAGTCCTGCACGGGACAGTATGCACGTACTTGCTGATGAGATTTCTCTACACGTCAAAGTGCAACATCATCTCACCAAGCTTGGGTTAAAGTCTCTCACGAGTGCGTCTGGCCAGGCACCTCCTCATCCAGCACTAATCCAGCTGGGCTATTGTGCTGGCTCCATATCTGCGGCACCGCAAGCCCCTCGAGTTCCAGGCCTCCATAGTCCCCGTGGATCCAGAGACACGACTCTGATATGCGACGGGCTTGCGACAGGGAACTTTAATGTGTAATAACTCGCCGTCGAGCACCAATGTCACGTTGATCAGCCCCGAAACGAGTCGGCCCTGACCTGGCTAATTTCAAGTTTTCGATCGCTGAGGAATGGGTGTATGTTCCAGCCAAGATACGCCAGACGAGTGCTGGAAGGTATGTGGTCATCACAGCTCCAGAATCAAGACGTATATTATCCGGATAAGCGAAGTGATCGGGTTGCTCAAGTCATAGGAAGAGTCACCAGTCGAGATTCGTAAGACTGTGCATGTGTGATGTGCCAAGTTGCGGGCGAGGAAGTACCCAAATTCGCGGTTCGCTGCAGCTGCATCTGCACCCGCATCTGCCTTACCCTTGATATTATCGTGATGAACTAGGCCGCCGGGACACATGTGTGTGGCTGGGCATGTATTATCAGGCAGAGAAAAATACTATACCGACTCTACCACACAAGATAAGGAAGCCGTCTCTTGTTGGGAGGGAGTGGTGGGGGTGTGTTTTCGCGACGCCGTTGTAGCCTTCATAGCGTCACCTCGAATAATGCGGGGAAGGGAGTGGAGGGGGGTGTGTATACCTTCGCAAAAAAGGCTGCCACTGATTGTGTGTTTGACCACTCCATCAACATCGAGGGTTCCGATCGCCACTAGCGGAGATAGCTAGAGCTTCTCATATTTACGCATACGAGTTGCACTTACTCGCTTGGTCGAGAGACGGAACGAAAATTCGACGCAACCACAGCCGACTCTAGGGTATTGAGAGATACCCACCATGATCGTCCCTTGGCCGGATCCTCACTGGTCAGGTACGCATGGATGGTCGGTAAGAAATGATCGAGAGATGGTAACGGTGATGCAACGCAGAAAATGTGAGAGCACAGCGGTGCTTGTGTTTTCGATTCCAATCGAAACTGCGGAAGAAAAAACACCTCAAATCGAGATGCCCTACGCAATCTACTGGGCACCTACCTATGAATTAGACATGTTCTTTGCCTATCGCTCCACGCTGGCCAATGTGATATTACAACACCATACTCATCTGCATCATGGCCAGCAACCCCGAGTCAGCTCCTGTGCTACTGTAGCCACGCGGTTCCATTCCCCGGTCCCATAAAAAGGTGTCTAGCCCGAGGACAATCAATCCTGAGCCGATTGAGTTAATACCATGGCCGGACGGCCCTTTCACATACCCAATGACAATCGTGTCTCAGGTTCCTAGAGGTACGGGGCATACGTTCCCAGTCGACTGCCAAGGTGACGAAGCACAATACTTCCCTTCGAGACATGGTAAATCAGAGCTGTAGACCCTCATTTGGGCCGCCCTACAGAGCCTGGGCATGCATCAGCCCAGGATGTGACGGCCACACTCGACGAGGCTTACACCTGACAATTCCCTTCCCAAATTCTCGGTTGGAATTACACTGGGCGCCATAGGACGGAGGGGTAGATGAAATCTATCCCGAATGAAACGAGTCGTGCCAAGAAAGTAAGTTAGTTCTGATAGTAAGGCCGCAGCGCCATGAGACATGGAGTCAAAATCCCGAGCATGGCGCATCCTGGTCACCGCGTCGTCTGCAGAGTTGGTGTGCACTGAGGGCAGCGTTTTGTTGGGTTGTTGATCACCCAGACAGAGAGGCGCGAAAGGAAAAGGATTCCTTGTCCCGAAACTACCTAGAGAAACGCCGTCTGGTGGGCGGCATGAGCGGGCCAAGGTATTTAGAGAAATGACACGCAGTCTGCTGTTTTAGTAGAATTCGTCATAGCCGACAGGCATGTTTGTCACGGTTTGACGAGTTTCCAGGGTGAGAGCGTGAATGAGTCACCACCAGCCAAGTCGGTGTCGAAACGCTAGTGGTTAACTGCGGTGGACAGGCTTCGAGCAAAATTAACGAAAGAGAAAACCCGGCGCCATGAATAGAGGCAGGCGCAGCAAACTAGCTTTGTTAGGGGATGGCCTGTAAGAACGCACGAGGAGATGGTTGCACCCTTGAAACCTTGGGAGGATTGATTGCGCGAATATGGTGACATGACCAGCCAGGCTGTGATGTTGGCGAGGCAATAAAAGCTGAAGGGTGCGCAATGCAGAGTTCGTGACGGGGCCGCCCGCTAACTGTCCATTACTCCGGCTCGGCTTGATGACGAGGCCTGCTGACCGTGTGCTCAGGAATGGCGTGGGTATGGACCTAGTACATTCTCGCCTCCAGCTGGCGATGAATTAAGACCTAGTAGTGGTGCACGATGGAGGTTAAAAAAAAGGGGTGACATTCAGCACTGCAAATGGAGATGATGGAGCGGCATCACTGCCTGCTTAGGCTGGTACGACAGGCGGCGCCCCGCTGCAACAGAGCAGATTTGCCTGGGAGGCTGCCTGTCGTAGGCTTGCCTAGGCTGCTGACACCAGCAGCAGGTGAAATGAGAGTTGCAATCCACCGCCGTCAGGATCGGGGAACAGGGCCGTCACGGACTGAGGAGTGACCTCAGATATGCATCATGTTGGGTTCCAGGCCGTGTGGATTGGATGTGTGTGGGCGACGCCAGCCAAAGGTCCTCACATCACCACTCTTAGGCCTCCACTTCTGGTTCGAAGCCGGGGCCAGGAATGACTGCCTGCCTGCCTGGGTCACTGCAGTCATCAGCTGGCGGAGCACAATGGGCGGACGGTGGGTGGCTCTGGGCTGGGTTGGGGGCGTCGCCAGGGCACAAAACAGGTCGAACAGGGCACTCAACACAGCAGATCCAAATGGTTTCAGGCGGAGGCGCCCAGTATAATTAGCCCGCTAAGACCGCTAGCAGGCGAACTATGCCTGTGGATGATCCCTCAGCGGGCTCAGTCTCAGCTGCTCCTGTGGCAGGGAAGGGCGGTGGGGTCCAGTAAAACGAGACAAGCAAGGGGAGGAGAGGGGAAAAAGAAAGGACTCGATATGAGCAGAGGGCGGGACAATCATGCCTAAGTAACCGGTTTGGTGAAGGATCCCTTGGCTGCCAGTCATCTCTGTGCGTTGTGTTTTCTTTTGCTGGAGCGGCCTAATGAAGCCATAGCGCATCGGCTACCACATACTAGCAAGGCTCCTCGCAGCAGCTCATTGGCTGACCAGTCAATCTTGCGATTATCGCCCTTATCCCAGTGTTTCTTTGCTGATTGACGTGGCCGTCCGCATGGAGCCACTCCTGTTCTCAGGGCGCAAGTCCTGGCCTGTGATGCTCCAAATCAGATCCACTTGGAACTATGAAGTATGTTCGCCCGGAAGTTGCACAGTCGTTCGCTAAGATTCGGTACTTGATGATCTTGTAGTTTTTCGTATTGGTATGCGAATGTAATGTCGTGTTGGGTCCAACGGCCTGGATGTCATGGTCATAGACCGGAACCTTGTCGCTGTAGGCATCGACCTTGGTGTTTCTACCTGGCCGACATGAGGCATTAGCCGATGGCGGCGACAATCTGCACAGTGCAGCTGACTGCAGTTGCTCATATCTGTAATGGATGGCTGTGGATGGATGGATGGATGGATGTGTGGTGGTTTCGCTTCAATGCATCAATCACCTCGTCTCCCGTGCTGAGCAGGACCATTGGATCCACTTCGCTCCAAGGGAGCCTGTCCCACATTTTGTAGGCGCCCGGGCGGTGAGGTTGCCCTTTGCTCCCTATGTGAGGGAGTGCAGGGTCACACTTGCCAGAAGAGGAAATGACCAGCTCT